GCCTGGTCTCCAAAGTGACTTCCAGGAAAGGCGCAAAGCTACACAGAGAAACCCTGTCTTGAAAAAAAAAAAAACACCAAAAAACAAAACAAAACAAAACAAAAAAACCAAAAAACAACAACAAAAAAACCAGACAAACAAAAACATAGCTCACTCAAAAAAAAAAAAAAATCTCCAAGAGAAAGGACAGAAATCAATCAACCAAGCAAATGAAAGCAAAAATCATTCTGGCAGAACTATTCTGATAACCGAAGAAGTATGCTGTAACTGAAGACCTTCAGGAGAGGCACAAGACAGCTACTGCATATTAACAAAGTGGAGGGTCTACCAAGAAGCTGTAACAATGTACACACACACGTTCACTGAATGTTGGGACGTCCAGTTTCTTAAAACAAACATTAATGATGCAAAAGAACACATAGGTCTGGATATAACCACAGTCGGTGACTTCAATAGCTCACTCCTGAAATAGGTCATCAAGGCTAAAAGCTAATAAGGAAACTTCACAGTGATCTACACCATGGGTTATATAAATTTAACAGACATTTATAGAATAAGCCATACAACAGCTGTGGGGTCCACATTATTCTTAGCAGCATGTGTAACTTTGAAAAAATTGTCCACAGTTTAGTCCATAAAGCAAGTCTTAGCAAAAGGCAAATTTATTGAAACAATTTCCTATCGGGTTACAGTGGAGTAAAAGTAGAAATAAGAGAAAGACCCAGAGATTAAACACTGTCTTCTTGAGTGACCAACGAGTCATTGGAGGAATCAGGGTGAAAATAAAAACCTTCCTAGACTCAAATGAAGATGAAAGCAGTCAGTTCATCAGAGCCTTTAGGACCAAGGGGAGGACGTTGCAGAGGAGCAGCTATGAGTGCTTACACTAAAAACTAAGAGGAGGCAGTGTGTGTGTGGGGGGTAATTAAACAAAGTTTATCCACACAGACACCTGAAAACGCTGTAATGAAACTCATTACTTTGTATGATGACTTAAAGGTAATAAAGAAGAATTGGATCCCAAGTAAATAACTTCAGGATACATCTCAAAGTCTTAGAAAAAGGAGAATAAGCCAAACTCCAAAGCAGCCAGTTAGAAAAAGGCAGTTCTTCAACAAATGGTCTTGAAAAAACTGGACAGCTACATATAGAAGAACAAAACAAAATCCATCTCTCACCACAGAGAATTCTATTTAGTTATAAAAAAGAGTGAAGTAGGGCTGGATAGATAGTTAGTTTCATGATTAGGACTACATACTGCTCTTGCACAGAACTAGAGTTGAGTTCCCAGAACCCATACTGTAGAGCTCAAAACCTCCTCTAAGTCCAGCTCCAGGGGATCTAACACCCTTTTTTGACCTCCACAGGCAACTGCACTCAGGTGAACATCCCCACACACAGACATGAACTCATATACATAATTAAAAATAAAAACCAGGGCTGGAGAGACGGCTCAGAGGTTAAGAGCACTGGCTGCTCTTCCAGAGGTCCTGAGTTCAATTCCCAGCAACCACATGGTGGCTCATAACCATCTGTAATGAGATCTGGTGCCCTCTTCTGGCATGCAGATGTACATGCAGGCAGAACACTGTATACATAATAAATAAATACATCTAAACAAACAAACAAACAAACAAACAAACAAACAAACAAAAAACCCAAACCAAAAAAAGAATGATGTTAAATCATTTGAAGGGCAGTAGGTGGAGCCGGAGATCACTATGACACAAAGACAAATTCATAAAGGAAAATATTGTGTTTTCTAGATGTAAATAAACAAACACATACAATATAAAGGAAGAAGGCAGCATGAGAGGAGAAGGGTGTATAAATGAATAGGGGAGGGAGAAAAAGAGAGGATAATGGGGGACAGGGAAGGAACAATATCACACATTTACTTTCATATATATGAATCATATATATATATATATATATATATATATATATTCAGATTTGACATGACATCAGAAGTAGAACTACTTGGGGGAAGAGAAGGGACCAGTGAGGGACAGGGATGAGAGAGGGAGACAAATCAGGGCAAGGTACAATGATATAAATGCACAAAAATATCAAAACAGAACACATTGCTTTGTATGTTAGTAAAACATTAATTAAAAAACAAAGACTAGGATTCTGTACACTCCAATGAGAAAGGTGATCTCAAAGGACTAGAAGGCTAGCAGGGAGGGAGGATGAGGAGAGGGTGAACAACAGGCACCAAGTTCCAGACAGCAGGACTAAGTTGCACATCCCCAGATCACTAGATGAGAGGATTTGGGAATCATTACTTAAAGAAAATGATAAATGTTTGAGGTGATTCATGAGCTCAAATTTCATGATTATGTTTTGTATAAACATAGCAAAATGTCACACTGTATCTATAGATATGTCCAATGATTCTATGTATATTAAAAATAAATGAGGAGTCATTGGAAAATAAGCAATGTGTTACTGAGGCTAGCAAAGAGGATGCCTTGATGAGTGAGTTATCACAGCGATGTGCCCCTGTTGTAGCCAGGACTGGCCTAGGTAACATTGTAATGACCCTGAAACACTACAAAGCCACAGTGCTGTGCATGGCTACAGTCAGAACAGAACCCATGTGGGAGCCCACAGAGGTTTCCTAGTGAGCTCGGAGTGTGCTTTACCCAGCAGGGCTGCATAAGGGGGTGGGTTGACCACATGGGAGGTTTCCAGATGTTTGGAAGGGTCTGCACTTGGCTGTGATGGGGGGAGGTCTTTTGTCCCACCCCTTGGTGTTCCTTTAAAAAGTCCTGTAGAGGAGACAGAGGGGGCTGGTGGATTAGGATCCAGGCCCTCCCGAGGCTATCCTGTGTTTCTACCTGTCTCTCTCCCCTCTATATTTCTATCTAAATCTCTTATCCTTCACTCCTCAAGAGGATCCTGGGGGAAAAGGTGGGGGCGGGCCCCCCACAAACCCAGTCTTTTGACACCCCTGGTCCTTCTCCATGCCTGTGCCAGGGCTGCAGAAATGCCACCAAAGACCTGCTGTGATCATTTTCTGACCGCTTTAAGGCTTTTGTCCAGGCCGTGTATTCTAGGACTCACTCCCCTCCCCCATCTCTCTCAAATTGTCTCTGGAGGGCTGCATTGGGGCTCTTCCTCTCTGCCTTAGGTGGATGGTGATTGGGATAGTCTGGCTGGTGTCTCACTAGCAAGTATGCTTCATTTGGAATCTCAGCTTGAGTCTGCCCGAGACATGAGACTTTGCAGCACAGTCATCTCGTCTTACAGAGGACAGAGCTGAGGATTGGACAGTAGACATTGGTGGAGTCAGTTTTGGAACAAAGGGGCTTCTCATTTCTAGAGAAGGAACCGAAAAAGGGTCTCAACAGGGACACATTAATGTATCTGACTTTCTAAATTCTCTACTCAATGTTGCTGTAAGCGTTCAGTAACAATATTTAGTGAGGAGAAAATCTTAGTATATACTGTACCTTCCATGTATTTCTTTCCGTATCATAAACCCCACCCATTTCTAATAACTGTCTGATCAATTCCAGGGGTGGCTGGGCTCCACCTTTTTCTGGTGTTGGCATATTCATATCATCAATAAATACTACAATCTTAAGGGAGACAGAATGTTTAAAAATATTAATTAGTGCAACCTTTTAAAAATTCTGAATTACAGATATGCTATTGTTTAAGAACAAAATTATATGCAATAAATCTGTTTTAAAATTAAAAGCAGAAGATTAAATCTATTTTGAAGCTATGGTCTTAGAAGACAGCAAGTGTCCCAACCAGCAGAAACTCTATCCACCCTTGGTCCCTAACACAACTACATAATACTTAGGAATGTTTTTTGATAATGATCAAACAATTTAACTGTGGCGCTTGCTTCTGAATGTGCCAGCTTACTTCTTACCATGTGCTTGCTCTGTTGTCGGATTTAGCTTTTCTGTTTCATATGCACCCTGGTTTGGGCAGCAAATTCAGAAGCACTTTCAGTTTTTAAATCTGTATTACTTTTTGCCTAGGAAAATATTATGCAGTCAAGTGTATCAATTACAGTCTCTGTGCAATGAATCCTTTTGGTTGCATTTATTTTTTTGGAAAACAAAAATACAAATAGCTGTTTTGATTTCCCAACTTGTAACTGTCAATGTTACTTTTTTTTTTTTTTTTGGTTTTTCGAGACAGGGTTTCCCTGTGTAGCTTTTGCACCTTTCCTGGATCTCACTCTGTAGCCCAGGCTGGCCTCGAACTCACAGAGATCCGCCTGGCTCTGCCTCCCAAGTGCTGGGATTAAAGGCGTGCGCCACCACTGCCCGGCTTTTTTTTTTTTTTTTAAGGAGAACATTGTTTCTCTTCCTGGAATACAGACTGGCAGCCATGTTTCCTGCCTGCCTTTTCTAATGGTGTGATTATAGGTTGCAGAAACCCTTTCAGAATCCCTAAAGTCTATTCATGTAGGCAAAGATCTACCAGTTTTATCCACATCTTCGGTTGAAGTCCAGGGAATCTGAAGCAAGCCCTTAAGACCTCCTAAAGGTGACACAAACATTGAGAGCAGGGACTCCCGGGGCCACGCAGGCCATTCATGAATCTTGCAAACCGCTTGACCCTGAGCTAACTTCATGGTACTGAATGGGAGTCAATGGCCGTAAATTCCACCTGTGACTCAGATAATAAATTGACAGTTGATTCCATGCCAAGCAGACTGGAGGTGAGATGAAGAACATCTGGTACCACGGGGTATCTGCCTTGTTCCCACAAGACACTTCCTTCTTGCCTTCTCCAAGTCTGCGGGTTCTAGAAGTCACTCTTTCTTTTAGAGCTTCATGCAGCAGATGAAAATGAGCTAGAAACTACAGCAACAAAGCACCATCAGCTAACTCAGGCTCCAGACAATCTTCATCGAGATTTTGGCATATTCCTCTGGTCTTAATAACTCTCACCCAGGACAACCCATCGTACTGGAAGAGGAATACACCGATTTGAGAATCAACGCCCCCATTGTAAGTGCATTTTTAAACAGTGCCCAGGAGTGTATATTCTCCTTTTTACTAACTAAAACAAACCATTTTCTTACAGATTAGGGGGGCTAAATTACCCTGTTGTTTTTCGGGGCTCCAAGTACGTCTTTGGCTCTTCTAACTAACTTCCGCAGAATCATCTCCTTGGTTTTGGCGGCTGTCACGTTGGTGGTTAAATTGATCGTAGAGACTATAATTCCTTTATCATTTTTAATTGGGGCATCATCAGTTTTAATCATGACTTTCTTTGTACTCATATCTACAATGCCAAATACAAAAGGAGAAATAAATTTAGGGCAGTTTAAGCAATGTTTGCTCTATTTTAGGGTGTTAAGAAATTTGAAACAAGCAATTTTATTTTATTGTTGTTCTTTCAAAGACAATGCTCCGAGAGAGGAACAGTAGCTTTGAATAGTTATTATCTTTCATTGTAAACTGCACATCGGAAACCATAGCACATGCAGTGGTATGAAGCGCGGGGGCATCTTCATTTGTCTATGTTACAATGTCGAGCTGAATGATGGGGAAGGTGCATGCAGGACTCGTTCCCAGAGGAAGAATCATTCAGAGGGATGTGTAGGATGAGCCTACAGTAGTTCAAGACCCTAAACTATCTCTGGAACTCATGTTTCTGCTATACCTCCTGGCATGAGAGCTACAGAGTCATGACTTTCTCCTGTGTGTGCTGAAAGTCAGGGAAGAATGCAGCAGCTTCTAGGTTCCATCTGCTCTTTTACCAGGGTGACAGGACTCACCTGTGAGTGCAGACGACCTCCTCCACCAGAGCCTCTTGTACCTTTTTAGGAGCTTTGAGTGGGTCCTGGATAATTTCCAGCAGGTTGTATTTTAAATGAACAATCCCAGTTTTTGTTTGTTTGTTTTTGCTTTTGTTTTTTGAGACAAGGTTTCTCTGTGTAGCCCTGGCTGTTCCGGAACTAGCTCTGTAGACCAGGCTGGTCTTGAACTCACAGAGATCTGCCTGCCTCTGTCTCCTGAGTGTTGGGATTAAAGCAATTCCAGTTTTTACTCTATGACTTCTCACAGTAAGGAATGGCTTTGCATATGGCCACAGTAGAGAAGAACACAACAGATCAAGAGATAGTTTCGATCCCACGCGGCCACACTTACCGAAACCTCCGATGGCTGATTTGTAGGTCTCGGCAATCAAGATGTTGATATTCTGCCTTATGCTGTTGGAATCAAATGTTTCAAGGATCCAAAATTAGTTTATAGTTTTAGTTGTAGTAATAAAATCTAATCAAAGTAACAGCACATCATTGATCTTACTTGGATTTCCCACAAGAAAACATTTGTTTTTCTGTTCACACTTTTATAATCTTAAGACTTCTCCACATGTCATTTTCTTATTCAGCTGAAAAAACAGGCTTCTCTAAAATTTTAACAATGTGAGACTTAATTTTAAAAATGTGTTTTATTTTGGAAATTTTTATTTGCAAAACAGGTTTATATTTTTCTTATGAAGAGGTAGACAAAATTCAGAATGATAGGCACAAGCTCTTTGTAAAGTCTTTTTATGTTTCATATGTAGATGATTTATTTCTATTACAAAAATTGATATTATATAAAACTTTGTGAGTATATCTGAGGTGCATTTTTCTGGGAGGAAAATCGCTTATAGTTATATTTTATGTTATATAACATATGTGGTTCTAAACTTAGTTATATTTAAAATAAATGCAAGTGTATCTGATTTAAATGAATGAATCTAGCTGTTAACACTTTGGAAAAAAGTAAAGATTTTTCTCTAAACAGGTAATTATGGTGAACCAATAATAAGGAAGGAGGTTAAATCAGTAGCAAAAAGTTCTCCATTAAAGAAAAAAGTATAGCCGGGCGGTGGTGGCACACGCCTTTAATCCCAGCACTCGGGAGGCAGAGACAGGCGGATTTCTGTGAGTTCGAGGCCAACCTGGACTACCAAGTGAGTCCCAGGAAAGGCGCAAAGCTACACAGAGAAACCCTGTCTTGAAAAACCAAAAAAAAAAAAAAAGAAAAAAGTATCACAGAACCATGTGGTTTCACACTGAACTCTAGTGATTATTTAACGAAGGATGGATACTAATATCATACACTACTGAAAAATGGAGGTAGAAGGAATATTTCCAAACTCATTTCATAAAGCTAGCATTGCCCTAAGAAGAAAGCCAGAAAAAACAGTTTAAACAAAGAAAACTTCAAGATAGTATTACTTAGGAACACAGATGCAAAAATCTTCAGCAGAAAGCTAACAAACCAAATTCAACAGAGCATTAAAGAGACCATTCTTCATGATCAACTGAGAATCACTATCCCTGGGATGCAAGGATGGTCCAATATGTACAAATCAATAAAAGTGATACGTTATAGTAATAGAACAAAGGATAAAAGCTATAATGACATCTCACTAAGTAAAAAATCTAGCTACTGAAAACTATAACGAAGCTGAAAAGTCACACAATTATCTGAAACTATAGCCAGTATTCATGGTTTAGAAAAATCAATACTGTTACAATGTTTATACTACCCAAAATGATCTATAAATTCATGTAACCTCTATCAAAACTCAAGCTATTTTTCATTTTTCTTTTGGAATCAGAAGACTCCAAATAGATACAGCAATCCTGAACAGGAAGAACGAGGTGGAAGAAGTGATGACAGGACTGGAGGGAATGAATGCCTCTGTGGCTAGGAGCTCTCCCGCTCTTGCAGAGGACTGGAGTTAGGTTCCTGGTACTCATGTCACACAGCACATAACGACCCCAAACACCAGCTTCAGGGTATATGATGCTCTCCTCTGGCCTCTGCAGACATCGGCATTCACGTGCACAAACCCCCACACAGATACATAATTAAAAAAATTAAAATTAAAAGAATATAATAAAAATGGATATTGATCAAAACAACCGAATATTGCCATAAAGAGTAAAGTAAGCCAGGAAAGGAGGATTAAATTCTATACAGTCTCCACTATACTGAGAATATGAAGGGGGTGGAAGCAGAAAGAGGGGTAGGTATTAGGGGCCGAGGGTGAGGTGGGAGGATCCAAATAGGAGGAATCTGATTTCAAGGTGGATCACATGGGTCTGGAGGGTTCTGTTAACATATACTGCAAAGCTGCAGAAACACAGGTTTTAAGTGTTCTCACTATGAAATGTAAGTACATGAGGAGGCGGGTGTGTTAATCAGCTGACATAATTTTACAGTGCATGCACACACTTAAACAGCCCACTGTACCTTACAAGTATATATATTAAGAGATTGGGAAAACATTTTTTTCTTATTGCCTCATTTGAATAATTCTCATCATTATATAAAAGATTTGCTTTGTAAGAACAAAGTCAACATACATCAAGGAAACGTTTTTACCAGAGAAGCCAAGTTTAAAGTTTAATATGTATACCTTGATCTTTTAATTTCATTATGTAACAGGACTTTTCCTAAAATTGACCCGAATTTTATATCAAATGTTCCTCGACCCTCTAGCTTGTCAAGCATCTCATTGATGGCAGTAGTCTTCCCGACACCAGAATCTCCTGAGGGGGAGATACACTAGGTTAGAGCCACATGTCAGAAGATTACACATGTTCATATGGTAAAACGAATAGTGGCATATATGTACTCATTTGAATCTGCACGGATGGAAAGCATAGTTTTCGCTGTTCTGTTTTAAATGTGAGAGGTTAAGTAGGAACTTAATGTGAATTTCTTTTAAATTGTTTGATTTATATTTGTTACAAAAGATAGATTAGGAGATAATAATAACTTTTATTTAATGTTCATTTAAGCCCATCAGAACTATTTCTTGCTTATAGCACACTAGAATTGTGTTAGATGAAACTCTTTGAACAGAACAAAATCAATTAAAAAAACATTTTATGTGTATGAACACCGTATCTGTATGTGTATATGCACCATGTGCATGCCTCCTGCCCATGCCGGTTGCAGACCCTCCTGGGCTGGAGTTTCAGATGGTTGTGCACCACGAAGTGTGTGCTAGGACATGGACCTGAGCCCTCTGCAGAGTGGCAAGGGCTGCTGACCCTGAGCCTTCTCTCTAGCCCACTTCATCATTTTTTTTTTTGAGGAAGGGTCTTATTATGTAGCCTAGGGTGGCCTTGAACTCAACAATCCTCCTGCCTTAGCGCCCTGAGTACTGGAATTACAGACATATATCACAACACTTAGTTCCCTTAAATTTTTTTTTTGCTAACATTATCGAAGGAGGCATTTAAAAATAAAACTTCCTGAAACAGAATAAGGACTCATGACTCCCAAGTTTCACAAAACAGAAAAATTCAAGAATTTTCTTAGCACAAATTAGAGGTAAATATGTGTTATCTGAGTGTCACACTGCTGAAGTCCTCTGTATGTCTCCAGGAACACTCTATTAAATTTGCCTCTGGTGATAGCCAACACAGGTCAGAGACAAGAAAATGTTAGTCAATGGGTTGGATGAATACTCAGAATGAACAAGAACTGCATTGAGTCACTCCTTTGGTAATAGCAAAAGTTTGGAAAAATTTTATGCCATATTTACAAATTGTATGTTAAAGTTTAATTAGACAGTTGGTGTTACCAGATGTGGCCCTCTAAGGCTCATGGGCTATGGAGGTCAACCACACATTCATCCAATGTGTCTACTTCTAGAATTTGTCTTTAATGTAATGAAAAGATGAAAAAATATAACACCCAAGTCTAGAGTGATGGGTGCACTTGGGAGGTGGATGTGAGAGGCTCACCTCTCAAGGGCAGCAAGAAAAAAAGGGGGGGGGGTGAGGTGGGGAAGGAGGAGGACGCGGAAGGTACATAGACAGACTTAGAATGTCCTTGTTAAGATGGGCTGTTGCTAAGATTGTGAAAATCAGTCTAAATTTTCAGCACCTATTAATTAATTATTAATTCCCACTTAAAAATGATTAGACCCAATGTTAAACTTCTCCCCAACTTAGAAATTCCCTGTTCCTTATCTTTGCTACCTGTGAGAAGGACAGGGTAGGAATTCTTGAGGAGAAGACTCATGAGGAAAGACAGGCAGAGCGTGTCCCTGGTAGCGGTATAGTTCACGTACTCCCCACATTCCTTCATCCTCAGCATGCTCTCACTGGATCCCTGAAAGTCAGTCATTAACGATGTCCCTAAGGTCAGAAAACAGTTTTTAAATTTCAGACGACCTAGAATGTGATAGCAGCCAATTGTTTTTGCTATTCATTACTCTGGGAAAGTCCGCCTGGTACACGGCAACTTCATGGATAGACTGGCCAGTGTTGTTAGATGTGCCCGGGGTCTTTGTGGGTCTTAGAAATTGCTCTCTCCCGAGTTCTCAGCTGGCCAAGAGATCACACACATTCCTAAAGCAAACTCCTTGGCTTTCCTACCCCAACCCTGCTGGTCCAGCCGTTCCCGACAGGAGGATGGGGAGGCAGCTCTCTTCCCAAGGCTGCTGCTGTCCTGAGAACCCACTGCTCGGGCTGCCCTTCTTGTCCTTCCGGACTCTTCTGCTACAAGTTTTAATCATACAAGCTGAACCTTCAACCTGATTATCTGAACCACATGAAATTGACATTTCACAAAGTAAAGGACAGTTGAACACAGAAAATTCAGTGTGAAATAACACACACACACACACACACACACACACACACACACACACACACATGGGAAAGAACAAAACAAAAACCAACCTACCAAACAAAACTCATCCTGGACATGAATGCTGTCTATAATGTTACCCTAATCCTTGTTTTAAAACTTCACTTTATTGTTACTGTTGTCTGTTGTAGTGTGTGTGTGTGTGTGTGTGTGTGTGTGTGTGTGTGTGTGTGTGTGTGTGTGTAGGTCAGAGGACCACTTCGTGGATCTGGTCCTCTCCTTCCACCTTTGTATGGGCCCTAGGGGTTGCCCCCTTACTCTCTGCCCCACTCACACTCTTTACAGGGGGTGGGTTCTCTCTTCCTACCATATGGGTCCCAGAGATCAAATTCAGGTCACCAGGCTTGGTGGTCTTTATCCACTAAGCCATCTCACAGGTCTGGATTACTTTTCTTAATGTCACTAAGACTACAACCTCTCGGGTGTCACTCTGGTTCATAAGTCCATGTCTGTTTCTGATGTTGGAGCATTTGACAGTGCTGAGGACTTTGGTCGTAGGAACTTTTTTCTCCATGCCTTTACTGCTAAGGAGGCTGTGGCCAAAGATGCCAAGGCTGTGGGGCAGTGGCGACAGAGGCCATGTTTCTACATGGACTTCTGGCAAGCAGGCCACCTCTGCTGGAGTTTTCTGGAGGTAGCTGCCTTGTCAACCTGGCTCCCACTGCCTCTGCTCTTCCCCAGTACCCCCAATCCTTCATACATTTATACACATGCTCCTCAACTTACTGATGGAGTTACTTCCCATAAACCTATGGTAAGTTGAAAAAAATTGTGATTTGAAACACATTTAATGCAACCGAAGCTCCTAGTTGAGCAGCGCAGTATTCTGGGGAGTATGGGTGTTCACCTGAGGTTGTGGGGCTGGCTGGGAGCGGGAGCTGCAGCTACTGGCAACTACCCAGCGATGCATGAAGCATACTGCTTCTGCCGAGCCTGGGAAAAGACCCAAATGGGAAATAAAAAAAATCATGGCTCTGTTCAACATGACTGGGTTCACACCATTGGGGCTGAAAGACTATAAAGCTGAAGTAACTTTTAACTTTAAACGACATTTTGTCATTAAGTTCTTGTCTTCATCTCCTACCAAGCTCTCAGAGTTCAGCAAGATTTTTTTTTTTTTTTTTTTTTTTTTTTTTTTTTTGGTTTTTTGAGACAGGGTTTCTTTGTGTAGCTTTGTGCCTTTCCTGGAACTCGCTTTGGAGGCCAGGGTGGCCTCAAACTCACAGAGATCCGCCTGGCTCTGCCTCCCGAGTACTGGGACTAAAGGCGTGCGCCGCCGCCACCACCACCTCCTGGCAAGTTCAGCAAGATTAAGGATCTTCTGTGATATACAGAAGCATGTTGCAAATAAAAGCGATTTAGAGTATATGGATACTTATGAAAAAAATTAAACCATCATTTTCTACTTTTTTGTTGTTACTATTTTGAGACAGGGGCTAATGGCTGGACTGGTACTCACTATGTATTCCAGCCTGGGCTTGAATTAATGGCTATCCTCCTGTCTCAGCCTCCTAAGTACTGGGATTCCAGGTGTGAACCAGCATGTCCACCTTATTCTTTTTAAATTCTGGTTTTGTTTAACAACCAAGTACATGATCTTTATGTGTGTGTTTTTCTTACTTTTAAAGAGTTACTTTCCATTACTGGTTAGTACCACAGCTAATTAAACCAGTAGACACTGTCATTGGTGAGACTCTATACACTATAGTTCTGTACTGTGTCTATATACACTACACATTTTAAAACTTTATTTACTTCTTTTATGACCATGGGTGTTTTGACTTCATGTATGTCTGTGCATCATGCGCATGCCTGTGTCCAGGGAGGACAGAAGAGGGCATCAGATCCCCTGGATCTTGAGTTAGAGACGGTTGTGAGCTGCCATGTGGGTGCTGGGGAATGAACCTGGGTCCTCTGGAAGAGCAGCCAATACTCTTAACCATGGAGCCATCTCTCCAGCCCCCTCCCATTTCTTATAAAGTAATGTTCTAAGGTGATTTCAAGGCACATTTTATAAATGTGAGGTTTTTTTTTTTTTTTTTTTTTTAAAGAAACCTCAGGGTGAACACCCATACTCCCCAGAATACTGCGCTGCTCAACTAGGAGCTTCGGTTGCATTAAATGTGTTTCAAATCACAATTTTTTTCAACTTACCATAGGTTTATGGGAAGTAACTCCATCAGTAAGTTGAGGGGCATGTGTATAAATGTATGAATGATTGAGGGTACTGGGGAAGAGCAGAGATACATATTTGAACATGTCAATCCTCAGTGTTGCGAACACATCTATTTTAATGATTAATATACCTCCAGAATTTTAGAGACGTTAAAAGCCTTTAAAAATGATTATACTTACCTCTTTGAATTATTGTTTGAGCATTAGGAAGTAAATCTGACCAAGGCATAAACTCACAATTTTGTAAGTCCACAAAATACCCAAATATAGAACGTTCACCAGCTGGTAAGCTGATACCTATATCTGAAAACAACATAGACAAGAATCCAGTAAGAAAGCGGTTCACCGACGACATGAACGCTACCTCAAAGGTAAGGGTTTGTGAGCCAGGAGTCCACTGGAGGTCGTGCAATCATAAAAACAGGCAGGCCAATTCCTCGTAATATTTGTTTGCACAAAAGCAAAAGTTTATTAACTTTTACTCATTTTTACATGTAGAAAAGGGTAAATTGTGATCAATGTCCTGTGAAATCTTATCCTCAAGTGCTTGTTATTACAGTGTGTTTTGGATGCTAGTAAACTCCAGTACCATACCGGCTCAGGTCAGACCAATATAACACAGAACACTGAGAATACTTATAAATCATATTTCTTTCCCATTTAAAAAATAATACATTTATTGGAAAAAATTCTTGAAAATATAGGTTAAAAAAAAGCAAAATAAGCCGGGTGGCGGCGGTGGCACATGCCTTTAATCCCACACTCGGGAGGCAGAGGCAGGCGGATCTCTGAGTTCAAGGTCAGCCTGGTCTACAGAGTGAGATCCAGGACAGGCACCAAAACTACAGAGAAACCCTGTCTCGGAAAACCAAAACCAAACCAAACCAAAACAAAACAAAAAAAAACCCCAAAAAAAACAAAACAAAAAGCAAAATAGATTAGCCATAGTTTCATCAAAGATAGCAGAGTTACTATTTAACTGGATAGATGCATATGTCTAACCATCATTGATATATTAATATATACCTTGTTAGTTTTTATAGCTTGTTATCTTTTTCAGTTTTTGTTTGAGATATAGTAAAAATAATTTGTTATGATTTCCTTTTCTTTTTGAGACAAGGTATTATGTAGCCCAGGCTTGACTCAAACTTGCTATATACTCAAAGATGACTTCCTGCCTCCACTTTCCAAGCCCTGGGATTATAGGCATGAGTCAGAACACCTCACTTGACTATGATTTTAGAGTTAGTTTTCTCTCAGAATCCTTACAAATTTTGTTCATAAAAATTCATACGAGTTCACAATTGGTTTGTGAGTCCTTGTGTACATGCTACATGCATGTGTGTGCATACATGCACCTTGGGCACACATGTGGAGGCCAGAGTGGGAGATCAGGTGTCTTCTGTCAATGTCCACTTTATTGCTGTGAGACATTGTGGCTCTCCCTGAGCCATAAACCCACTATTCGGCTAGGCTTCTTGGCTTCAAACGCCATCCATCTCCACAATCCAATGCTGGGGTACAGGCACACGCAGCCACGCCTGGCTTTTTAAGTGATGGCTGGGGATTTGAACTCAGGTATTAATACTTGCACAGACAATTCTATTACCCTCTAAGGCGTCTCCCCAGGCCCTGTAGGCTGCTATTATCTTTAAATACAGTGCCCTTCAATCTATTTTATTCTATTTTGCTTTACTGCTCCTCTGCCTTATTTTGTATTTGTATCACATATACTTATTAACTTATTTTTAGCATTCTGTTTGTTTCAAATATACTGATTTATATATTGTCCTGATTAATCCAAAGCTTTTGGATGTTTCTCTCCAACAAAGACCTTAACATCCTTTACCCACTGAACACACTTCCCATCATCTTGCTCTTTTGTGTATAATTTAGAGTTTACACTTTTAGCAAAAATGAATTATTTAGTTTATAACTGGTAGTTTATAAACTGACCTTTTTCTGAATCATCCTCAAATAACTCATGAACAAGGTTGTCAAAATTATAGGTTACTTCTGCAGGAGAATCAGGTTCAAAATTTGAACGAAAGAGCAAGTCTTCTTCATGTTGGTCTTCACGCTTTAAAATCCCTCCGAATGCCCACGTAAATGCAAACACAAAAACCTTCTGAATCATTATTGTTAACTTTTCAGGATTTTTCTCCAAATACCATGCATTTTCATTCCCATAGCTGTGTGTGGGAAGATGAATGTCAAAAGCTTTATAAAGTGGTTGGAAAATTTATCTCAACATCACATCAGTTTAGATCTAATACATAATGTTTCCTCAGATAACAGTCACATAAATTAGTTACTGTGTTCATTTTTAAAGTGCCATATGTATAAGACATTCCTACTTAACTTTTGTTTTATATCTATTTTTGGTAATGTGTTGACAAATTTATCATATACCTTTATTTAACATACAGTTCTACTTAATATCTGTATATATACCTTTATCATGATATACTTTTGATACATGTTTAATAGTTATTTGATATGTATTTGATATACTTTACATATACACTTCATTTTATTTAGTATTTATATGTAAACCTTTTTAATTTTAGGTCAGTTTATAGTTTGAAGTTTACTTGTTGGGGGAGAGGGTCAATCTGATAATTCTGCATTTCATCAAAGACAGAATAAACAGTAATTCACTTCGCATTTCTTCTGTCAAGTCTTAAGGGCTGACTTAGTTCAACATGGTTACCGACAGGTAGTCAGAATCTGAGGAGTCTGCTTTCTAGTTGAGGTTAGCCTGGGCTCCTCGTGGCTAATGATCTGTGAGTTTTGTGGTGACAGGGTTGATGATGATAGGGCTAGACAGAAGGGTTGGGCCTAATTTCTAACATCTCCCATTGTTCTAATATTATCATAAAATTATCTATAAATTATAAAAAACAAGACATATCAGATTGAAATTCATTAGCAACTACCAGCATAGTGTGTTTGCATAATTCTATCTGAAACATTTCGCTGTGTATAATTTAGCAAATATTTATTAATTGTTTACTATTTGTCAGTTACTCTGAACAAAGTGGACATGATACCTTTTTCACAGGACAGGAAAGAGTGAACAAAACACACAGAGCTGAGTAAGATACGAGGCATAACAATGGGGTAATATGGCAGGCACAGAGGTCCCTGTGTTCACAGACATGCCCTGGGGACCTGGAAGAGCACACAGGGCGACTCCTTCAAGGGATGGAATGCAACACCTGTTATCTGGAAGGCTGGCAGGTGACATGCATTCTAGTCTGGTGACTTTTGAGCTATCTGTGTGGCCGAGACCACACCAGATTCCCCGAGACCCTCTGCGTCGGCTTGTTTTTTTCAACCTGTAGAACCTAACTTTATGGATGGTGTCACAGGCACTTTACAAAAAGTTTCTTTTGATGCGGTCATATCCAGTTTTTATTTAGCTTACTCTGTTCCTCAAAGAGATTTGTGAATGCTTACTATGCACACGGGATCGAGTTAATTGTCACCATAAATGTTTTCATCAAATTGTGCTGTGCTTAAATATGCCTAAAATAAACCACTGGGGGTCAGACTCCCAAAGTCTGAACCAGCACCAGCCACTTAGCCATGCTGAACTGAACTTCCTTATTGACCCTGTGGATTGTCACCCTGCTGGCTGTGGAGGTTGCAGAGATTTAGACTGTGGACTCAGCAAAGACCATTATCCAGAAGGAATATAGAAGGAATAATTCCATAGCTACAATGTATCATGCACCTAATTATTAACCTAAGTAATCGCCACGACAGCTAGCATGTCACATCATCATTCCAGTTTTGTGAGGCAAAGCTTTAAAAATTTCTAACTGGTGCAGCATTTTATAGCTTATAAACAGCTGATCTGTGAAATAAACTCACATCAATTTATTCCATTCTAAAATGTGTAAAGGCAAGATGAATGCTTTTTTTTTTATAACACTCTTACTATTTTAAAATACCATAAAAATGTGATTATCTTGTATTAGCTATACAGAGGACTCCAAGATGGGATAAAATAATGTAGACTTTAATATTATGAAACCATAAGATATGGTTTGCTGACAAGGATCCTACGTGCCTTTGGGTGTTTCCCATCTAGTAGGCTCCCCAAGCACACTGGCTGGGTGAACGTAACTGACCTGCTCTCAGCATCCTTGAACTTGACTTTCAGAGTTTTTGTCCCTTTAGTTGAGGTTTCACCTGTGGCGTCTTCACCTTAGAAACAACAGGATTTTTGTACAATTAACAACAGACCTAAAATTTCATAGGCTAATTAACCAGGCTCGGTTTGTAACATTGTCTAGCTGAGAACTGCCATGGGAGAGTCCTTCACTTGGAGCATCCCAGGCAGACTCTCCATCCTTACTCCGACTCCTTTTGTCCAAGTTATCCATTCAACAGAGAACAACAGACTAAATCATGACTCATTCCTTATAGCTTCATATTCTAATATTTGTGTTCTTAATGTTAAAATGTATCTTTTAGAAGATTTCAGAACAGAAAAGTACATAGAAAAAAACGAGAACTCACAGTTTTACTCTCCTCCATAACCATTAAAATATTGTTGTATTACTTATGGAATAACAAAGTACACAATGTATTTTAAATTTTAAACTCAGATAAAAATGAAAAGACTTGCATTCTTATGCTGCCTTTTGATTTTTAAGGCTGTTTTTATGCCATTATGTGTCCTTTGAAACATGATTTTGTTGTAACATAATTTATTAAGCCAATCTCCCATTGTTGGAATTCAGGCTGTTTTTATGACTGTAAATAGTTCTGCTGTGTACAACCCCCTCTGTGCATAAACCATTTGTATACTTCTCCAATTATAACTCTATAAAAGATTCTAGAACAATACCACTAAGGCGACTTTATCAGTATTTTCAGCATGCATTGCTAAGGAGCTTTAAAAAGGTTGACTCGGTTGGTGCCTCCACTGGTACCTTCTTTAGTGTTTATACTCCAGTACATTCTAGACATCAGTGTCTATCAAGGGTAAGGAAGTGCCCACAGCCCCACCCTTTCCTGAAGAACTACCAACTGTTAAGAGATGCTGGAGGGGGTGTGTGCCATTTTCTTCAGTGGAGTAGCCATTGAGGGACTAGGTGAGAAGGAAAAGGAAGTTTAGAGGGAAACTGCTTTTTTGATGCCTCATACTCAGTAGATAATTTTGCCACATTTTCAACAATAAAATGGATGTGGTGGTCCAAGCCTGTAATTCCACATTCAGAGGGTATAAACAGGAGGTCATCCTGGCTAGAAGTTCAAGGTTAGCCTGGGCAACATGAAACTCCATCACAAAACAAAGCAAAGAATAAAATAAGTTTGAGTATTCCTCTTTTCTTAGTATAACCCATTGAAGTAATGGTTGTAGTTCTCTGTGGGGAAAGCTCAGTGTAACTGCTCTGTAGAAACTTCCTCTGATGGTACAGAGGTTCCAGATGCCTCTTGGTTTTGTAGGTTGTTGCCTTGGCATCCAGCTCCAGTGTGGGAATGGACAAGTGACTCCTTCAGTTCCCGGGCTCTCATTTCAAGCTTGTGGTACATTACTGACTCTCTCTCTCTCTCTCTCTCTCTCTCTCTCTCTCTCTCTCTCTCTCTCTCTCTCTCTGTGTGTGTGTGTGTGTGTGTAATAGATATCTTCATAATGTTCTATTATAAAGGTTGTTCTTGTTTTCTTCTTGAGTCAGTATTGACATAGAAAACTTTTCATCTCTTCTTGTTATTCTGTTGTCTTTCTCTCTCTGGAATTTGCTAGAATCTTCCTTTAATGTTAAATAGTCTTAAATCATAACAAATTGTTTCCCATAATAAGCCTTGTATCAGGTAATAAACAAAACAATCATTTCTAGAAAGGTACAGGAGGAACATAAGTAACGTAACTATAGTAACAATAAAAACCAAATGCAGTCAATACTGACATAGTCTTATCTCAACAAATGGGAAACCATGACCCACAAGAGCACAGTGCTCACCCAAAATAGAATGGCCACATGACCCAGCAGTCTCACTTCTACTCAAAATGAGTGTTTTTAGGAGCTATTTGTGCTTCCTTTGACACTGAGGCATTACTTCTCTCACCATGACATGGGATCAGTCTGAGCTTCCACGTGCGAGCAGAGACAATGTGGTGTACGCACAGTGCAGCATTAGTCAGTTGTAAGAAGGAAAACCCCATCATATGACAATGTGTATTCACTTTGAAGTGACTCTAACAGTGGGCATAAAAATTCAAATACCAATTGATTTCATACAGATATGAAATCTAAAAGTGTTGTTCCCACAGAAATCGAGAATAGGATGATGGCCACCCGAAGTCGGGAGTTTGGATAGGAGAAAATGTAAGAAAGATGTTGGCCAAAGGATATGAAATGTCAGTAAAGCAGGGGAATTGAGATCAAAGACCTACTGCATAGCATGATGACTATAGTTAATAAGGTGATGTTTTCCAGTCCAGTAATATCCACCTTGTTAGGTTTATGATGGTCCAAATACATACTCATACCACCACTGTTTGTCACTTTCAGTATTAGTTAAATAAATCACATAATATATTGTGGTGATATTTTATTTGTGCTTTAATAATCTCTTTACCAGAGATCAGAGGTAATAGCAACCCATTTTAAAAAGTCAGGCAGTGGCAGCACACGCCCTTAATCTGATCACTTAGCAGGCAGGGTCTCTGTGTGTTCAAGGCCATACTAGGTAGGGAACAGAGCCAAGCGTGGTGACACACGCCTGTAATCCTAGTACCAACCACAGAGATCTGGAGGTCTGTACAGACAGGCAGTGACAAGGAAGTGAGGTAGCTGGGCTAAGAGAGCCAATGAGCGGGCAGAACAGCAAGGCAATAAAGGCGTGGGTAAGACAGGAAGTAGCTCGCATTTGGAAGCTGCAGAGTTGGTGAGGTAAGGTTAGTCGGTGGCTTTCCCTATTTCCCTGATCTCTCTAAGGCTTTCACCCCTGTATTTGGCTCCATGCTTTTTATTTAATAAGACCACTTAGAAATTTGTCTACAACATATAAAGCAGATACTGTGCCAGATAATTTTGTCAAAGTGTAGGCTAATGTTAATGGTCTGAGTGTGTTTGATAAGGTAGGCAAAGCCAGGCCTATCTACCAAATACACAACATAAATATCTTTGGGAAAAGATTTAGGTTAGCTTATGGTTTTGGAGGTTTTAGTTCACAGTCCTGGGCTGTATTGATGCTGGCCCCAGGGTGAGGCAGACCATCACAGGCCTGGGAAATGTATAGAGGAGGAGGTTGTGCACCTTAGTGTGGATGGGAAGCAGAAAGGAGGATGGGCTGGCACAGGATTCAGGGCTAGCATACCCCCAAGTACCCTCACATAGTGGCCTACTTACTCCATCTAGTTAGGTGCCCTCACCTAGATACCCATCACCAACTCCCCAAACATGAACATTCAAGGGTATACTTCATATTCAAACTGTTATATTCTACCTCTGGCCTCCAAAACTTCATGTCAATCTTACAATGCACAATTTATTCAAGTTAAACTCCAATATTGTTTAAAAATCAAGTCTAAATTGTTCTCTGACACTCAATGCAACTCTTTTTTTTTTTTTTTTTTTTTTTTTTTTCTCGAGACAGGGTTTCTCTGTGTAGCTTTGCGCCTTTCCTGGATCTCACTCTGTAGATCAGGCTAATCTCAAACTCAGATTTGAATACTTCTGACTCTGATTTAAATACTTTTGCCTCCTGAGTGCTGGAATTAAAGGTATGTGCCTCCATGCCTAGCATGTTTTAAGTCTTTTAATATTCCTTAATGTGGTGAAATTTCTAATTGAATTTCTTTTGGTTTCTTGAGACAGGGTTTCTCTGTGTAACTTTGCACCTTTCCTGGATCTCGCTCTGTAGCCCAGGCTGGCCTCGAACTCACAGAGATCCACCTGCCTCTGCCTCCTGAGTGCTGGGATTAAAGGCATGTGCCACCACTGCCCAGCTCAATGCAACTCTTAGCTGTGAAAGAAAACACATGACTTATTTCTTACGTACAATGGCAAAGACTAACTCTTCTCCTCCAAACTGGAGGAGCTGAAATACTGACAGCAAGGAGAGGTCAGGTCAGCAAGACCAAACCTGGAGGGATGAACTGTAAACCCTGTGGAACCACGTCAGCAGCCAGGGCACCGTTGTTTTGATGTGAGCTTCTGAGGTCCTGGGCAGCCTTGTCCCTGTGGCCTTGCCATTTGAAGCCGCCTGTGTGGCCTCTCTTTTGGACCTCTTACGCTCATTGCCTGCAGCTCCCTCAGCATATTTCCTGCTCCTGGCATCTCTGGAACCCTGAGGTCTCCACCGAGGATTAACCTTTACTTTCACAGCTCCACGCACTGACCTCTCGGGAGCTGCCTACATGAACACTGGCCTGACACAAACCACCTGGCCTCCCCGGCACTCTTTTAAGATCTGTGTGGAAGTGTCCTTGATCTCACAGTTTTGCATCCTATGTTCCTGCAAAACCAGAATCACATATACAACACCAAGGTCCGCCACCTGCTCAAGCAGTGCCAGGTCCCCTTGGACCATGGTTGCAGCAATCTGGGTGGTCAAGCACAGTGAAACAAATAAGGCAGATGGCTTCCTAGGCAGGCCTGCAGAAGTACGGTACGCTGAAGGTATTCTCTTTTCAAGGAAAAGTCTTTAAGATGAGTTTATCCGTTCATACCCTTGACCCTAAAATTGGTAGGGGTCCAGCTAATTCCTGAGATACCCTTAAGGCATCTTTTCTATTGTCCAGATGAGAAGTGGTTGGCTTCTTCTTTTGAATTTAAGTAATTTCATCAGAAACAAGGCCTGTTAGAGGCTCAATAAAACCACAGTAATAGCTAAGGTGTGTTAAGCGTATCTTCAACTTAAAAGGTGAAGTCACAGAGAATTTATCTGAATGTAACCCTTCACAGAGGAGCACTGTGTATTATATTCCTTAAAAATGTCAAATTTCAACAGAGCTGTGAAAGCTATAATCTAGTCCAACAGAAATGCAAGCAGTGACCACAATCGCCTCAGAGTAAACTGTATAGAACAAGGGCATAATGAGCCGAAAGCTAAGGCAACACCCAACAGGAAATGCCAACAGCAAGAAGAAACTGTGCATCTCTTCTCGCTTTGCCTTGGCATGTCCACAGTACAGGGTTAGACACTTCCTAACCTGAGGAATCCTTAAAACACAACAAACCGTTCTTGAGTAATCAAGATCTCCTAAGGCTCTGCATATATATATATATATATATATATATATATATATATATATATAGTCTAAGGTTCACACATGGGAACCTCAACACATAAGTTATTGGTTTGCCCCTTTGGATGTGTATCTCTGCTAAGAGGTTTTAGCCTGTTCTATGTCCATGTTCGCTGTCCACTCAAACAGACCGAGAGTCTATGCTCTTCCGGCCTTCACTAGGAAGTGACAAGCTGCCACTGGATCGTGGAGACACAATTTCCTCACTATAACTCAGGGGAAGTCACCTTTTGTCGTTCCTCTCTTTATGTGCATGAATTCAAACATGGCGTCTAGAATCCTGCACAGAGTCATGATGACTGTCACATCTTGTAAGGGATATGCTAAAAACTTTCTGTGCCTTTTCAGAAAGTCTAACCCTTCTGTAACACTCTTTTTAATCAGCATTCCAAGACACTCCATTCCTCGTTGACTTATAGTTTTTGAAGTTTTCAAAAGCCACGAGTTAATGTAAGGCTTCCATCCCAAATCAACAGGGTCCTAGGAATAAAAAGCAAAAGAAAAATCTCATGTAAACAAAAATACAGCATTCTTTACTTTTTAAAATTTTTTTCTTCATCACCCCCTCACCATGGTTAGATTCAGCATTATTTAAAGCTACAACAACAACAGCAGCAACAACAATCAGCTAAAGGAATTGCAATTCTCTGGAGTGATCTTGGAGTTTTAACTGCGGTTTGAAAAGAAAACAATGAGAACCCAATGGGGTGTGAAAGCTGAAAGGAGCCCGGCAGCCTAGGCAGCCCCAGCCCCCAAACCAGGCAGAGGAGAGAAGAGAGCCCTCACACTGCTAAGGAGTTTCGTGTATGGAATTTGGGGGGTTATGTTTTCTACTCCCATATCACTGTCTTGGTAATGTTTTCCAAGTTCTGAGAGTCATACAGTGAAAAGGCTTCGGGCAATCTTTCCTTTGCTGGCAAAATAATCCATACCAATGGCCTAACCTGTCTGTCTGAAATGCTGATGTTCTAACTTCCCTTGTACTATTACTGACAGTATTACTTCTGGATTATGAGGCTTTGGGGGCAAATAACGTTCCTGAGCTACTGGGGTCACTGAGTCACTGGGGTCACTGAGTCACTGGGGTCACAAGAACACAACTGATGGGATGGGTTGCCGTTCTAAACAACACACCTGTGCCAAGGAGCAGGCTCTGCAGACTTACCATGAACACCATTGCACACCGGGTGACAATAGCCGGCGTGGTGTTAGACAGAGAGTCCACTTCAAAAATCATCCTGATCTTGTTAGTCAGGGCAATCCTCTCGCTGTTCGCCAGGCACAGCGTTCTGGTTTCATCGAGCAGAGTGTTTAGATTTTCTATCCATAAGGTATCGACTGGGCCATCTAAAACAATCCATTGCCAATCGAAATCTGGACAGAAAAACATTTTTAATGTAGCTAAAACTGATCAGACTTCTTTTATTACAATCTTGAAAACATTCTATTTTATTAGAAAACAGTTTCCTCTTTTTTTTTTTTTTTTTTTTTTTTTTTTTTTTTTTTTTTTTTGACAGGGTTTCTCTGTGTAACAGCCCTGGCTGTCCTGGAACTCACTCTGTAGACTAGGCTGGCCTTGAACTCACAGAGATCCAAGTGCCTCTGCATCCAAAGCGCTGGGATTAAAGGCTTGCGCTACCACTGCCCGGCAACAGTTTCTTTTTTGTGTGCATAGGTGTGTGCGATGCACGTGTGTGCAGGTGTGTATGCACATTTGCATATACATACATGGGTATACACGTGTGAGGGTGTGTATGCATGTGTGTGCTCATGTGTGTAGAAGGCCCAAGTTGCTGTCAGATGTCTTCCTCAGTCATTCTCTCTTTTGTTCATGGAGCCATGGTCTCTCACTTGGTAATTCTGGCTGGTCTAGCTAGCCACTTTGCCCGGCAGGAGGAGGTCTCCTATCTCTGCCTCCTGAACATCAGCATTACAGATGCATATATACCTGTTTCTGCTTGGATCCTGGGGATCTGAACTTCTTGACACACATGAAGTCCCGTGCATGTGTGTAGTGGGTAGCTATTCCAGCTTTGGTCTGGAAGTTCCAACCCCCATTGAGGCTTTGGTAACTATCACGCCTACAAGGTAGGGCCAAGGGAGGGCCCTGAAGACCTGAGATCGGGATGCACCACGCTTTCTTGTTTCCTGGACCTGGACGCTAGAGGTAGACCAAGGGGAGTTCTCCAGAGAACACCACTGGACTGTGCTGCACCTTTTTCAAAACCTGCCACCTACCTATCCCTTTATTTGTAAGTTACCCACTAAATAAATTTTTCTTTTAACTATGTGGAGTGGCCTTAATAATTTTACCAATATCTGGCACCCAATGTGGGGCACGAACCCATGACCCTGAGATTAAGAGTCTCATGCTCTATTGACTGAGCTAGCCAGGCTCCTGCCTTGTAGGCATGATAGTTACCAAAGCCTCAATGGGGGTTGGAACTTCTAGACCAAAGCTGGAATGGCTACCCACTACACATGTGTGTCAAGTACTTTATCTGCTGAGCCACCCCTTCCCCCGACCGCCTGGCCTCTAAGATGAAAACATTGTCCCAGGAAACACTAGAGGAATGCCTAGGTTACAGTGGGGCATGTGTTGGACATGCTCAACTTTCATGAGTGGGATTAATGCCTCACAAAAGAGGCTATTTTATATATATCCTCCAGTATTCACTAAGGTCAGTAAATACACTATATATTTGAAATTGTTTTAAGCACTTTCTAGACGTTCTTAGATTGTTGAAATGTATAATTAACCCTTAAAATCTGGATAGGAGAAAGACAAGTGGTTCCATATTTTTTCATAATAATATGATTTGTGAATTTGTATTTTCCACTCAGGAATAATTTTTAGGTATGCTGTTCCTAGACAACATCAAAGGAAAATCAGGTAGATAGCTTAAACTGTTATACTCAGAACCCATTTACACCCTTTCCATGACATTGTAGTCTCTCTGGGCTGCTGTAACACAAAGTCTCTCACTGGGCAGGGTATAAACAGTACACACATGTCCGTTACAGCTCTGAAGGCTGAGGGCTGAGATCTAGGTACTAGTAGATCGTCTGGTAAGAGACAGCTTCCTGGTTCAAAGAGGGAACATTCCTCTTGCTGTATGGTCCCATGACAGGAAGATGGTCCCTTGAGTCTCTTTTACAAGTACACTAATTCTGTCAGTAGGGGCAGAGTGCATCTTGTATAGGACCTAATCCCACATTCAAGGGCACATGCTTCAAGACCATCTGCTCTCCCCAAGGCCCTACCTTCTAAAATCATTAACTTGAGAGTTAGGATTTTAATATACAAACTTTGGGGAAGTAGATGCAAACATTCAGAAGACAGCACCACATGCTATGTTTACCACCATGCCCAGTGGTTTTAGAAAACCTCTCACCTAGAATAAGGAAGGGTCACCATGAAGACAGAAAACAGCTAAGCACCCAGAGGACATTCAGGGCCCTTGATGAACCAGAGAACAGAGGTAGGATGCAGATAGCCACTGCTGAGAAGATGGGGTCTTTCTGCTTGAAATATTTATCCTATCCAATATTCTAAAACTCATGAGGAAAACTTAACTAGAACCACTCATTGTACTTTCCTCAAAATGCCATCCCAAACTCTGGGGAAGTAGATGCAGCAGGAAAAGTCCTTTTTAGAGTATGGGCCATAAACATGCTGCAAGCGGATGAGCCGCCATGAGGCTCAGTCTGGGGTGGGAAAGGAGGCTGAGGCTTTTCCAGCAGCGGGGCAGCTCCTATGGAGTAGGAGCTGTATTCTACACCTGCTCTGCGCATTAGTGACGAATCAGCTGGGATTGTGTGACTTAGCTGGCAATGCACAGATGGTATGGCATTGCCATTCAGAGATAGGAGGCTGCCACTGCTGCTTCTCAGATCATTATTTCTACCATCGATACCATTTTAGTCCTAATTATTTATAAACCAAAAGGTTACTTACGTGCTAGTGGCTATATATCACAAAAAGATATGTACACACTATAAAACTATTGTTGTGAGATTAGAAATTTTAAGCAAACACACAAGGAAGAAGTAAATTATACAAGAATAAAAATATTACTAATCAAAAATATAAAGACACAATTGCAGTTCATGTTGACTCAAAATTTTTCTTCTCTATTAATAATATACTGATACTGAATTTAATAGTAACACTTACCATGAGTTTCTGTAACTTTAACACCTTTTTCTACTTCCTTCATAAAAACACTGTTATCGATATCTGCTGTAGTAGAGAAATCAACTTGGAAAACCTAAATAATGAATAATCAGAATGTAGCATTGTACTAGCATTTTTCGGTCTTTATCATCAATGTTAAGTAGCTATCATTTTAATATAGGCTTTTATAATTTAAAAATGTTTTTTGTAAGCCTCATGGTAAATAGCAAAGCAAAGAGGAGGTGAATTTAGCAAGTGACTGTAAACAATGTAAACATATGGAAAACCAGTAGCAAAGCATCAGGTATACAGAACAAATATTAATAGACTTAAAGGCTGAACGATTCTAGTACACCAACAGCAAGGGACTTAACATTCTACTTTCACCAATATCAGGTCATCAAGGTACAAAATCAGCAGAGAAACAGCACAGATGAACTTCACCCACTGGACCGACCGCATGTGACACAAAGCAGCCCACCCAACAGCTATAGGAACTCACACTTCCCACTGGCATGAAGAAAACCCTCCTGAGTAGATCACAACATAGATCAAGTCCCAAATTGAAAAAAAAAAATCATAGTGCTTAGGACCACAATGCAGTATTTGTAACAATAAAATCCTGGCAAAGTATATTCATATATGGAACTTAACAGTTTTCCTTTCTTTTCCTTCTTTTTTAAGACAGAATCTCTCTGGCCTATAATTTCAAATGTTTCTAGGCCATGGTACCTTGAATTCATAGACACCGACAGGGCTTTGCCTTTCCAGGCACTGGGATTAACAGTGTACAATACCATGTCTGGTGCAACTTACCTTCTAAGAGCAACAGAATGACTGGGTATGGTGACAGAGGCTGCCATCCCAGCTCATTAGGATGCTAGGAAAGAAGGATTACAAGATGGAGGCCTGCCTGGCTACACAAGTAAGTCTGAGGCTAGCCTGGAAAACTAGGGAGGTCTGGCATCAGAAAAAGGGGAGGGGTGTAGATGGGGTTCTCAGTGGTAGAAATCTTACTGACCATGCTCAGGACCCTCAGAATTCCAGTTCTGCCTCACATAAGACAACTGGTTCTTTGAAGACATAAGCAAAATCAACAAACCTTCAGCTGGATTAAGACAAGGAGAAGACTTACATGAAATTAGAGGTGAAATCTGAGACATTACAACAGATACCACAGAAACATTAAGGATTAATAAAAATTAAAAATGAAATGCCAACATACCTGAAAACATAAAATAAATGGTCAAAATCCTAGACCCATGCACCTCGCCAAGACTGAATCAAGGAGAAACAAAAATGAAAGACCAATAAAGAGCAACGAGACTGAATCGGTAACAAAAAATTTCCTCCTCAAACTAAAGTCCAGGACCAGATAGCTTCACTATTGATGGGAAGAATGAATACTAAGTCTCCCTAACATATGCTGGAAAAATTGAAGAGAACAGAATCCTTCTCACTTGTTCTATGGGACCAAACTGAAGGAACCACAATGGAACAAAAGCAGTGGGCCACTGACCTTCATCAAAACAAGTGCAAAATTCTTAGGCAAAACACCAGCAACTCAAATAGAGTAGTACACAGAAAGGGTTTATCTATGACCAAGTGGGATAGATCCCAAGGATGCAATACGGCTTAACACATACAAGTGAAGCTCATCATCATACATACATACAAACTCCTACATGTTATCAGAAAACAAAGTGTAAAATAAAAATGTATTATCACCTCAGTAGATACAAAAAAGGCGTTTGGTAAAATTTAGCATACCTTTATGATAAAACTGAAAAGATGACTCCATAAGGAATATATAAATGTATTTCATAAGTTTGAGACAATATAAGTGGTTCATATGGTAGACAGGTAACTTGTAACTTTTCATATAGAAAGCATCCTCTTACCAATATGAAAAGATAACATCAGCTTAATAAAGCTATCTCTTTAAATGACTAGGAATTGATTGTTAAATCAAAGAAACATTTATGTAGAAATCTCAACATGTTCAGTAATTCCTTGGTATCTATAGGGGAGGCTATTTCTAGGAAGCCCCAGAAAATACGAAAACATGGGTGGTTAGGTACCCTACGTAAAACGATACAGTATTTGTACACAACCTACTCACAACTACGTGTCTGCATTACTCAATCTAACACAGGTTAAAGCCTGTGTGTGATGTTATTAGATTGTTTAGGAAACAATGATAAGGAAAAGTCTGTATACACTTCACACAGACACCATTTCATTTCCAAATAGTTTGGGTCTATTTTTGGGTGAGTCTGCAGAGGTAAAATTCATGGATACTGAGGTCTGATTATATTCTCAAAATTGTCCTAAATTATGTTTGTATATTTCTTTATGAGTTAGCAAATGCAGGCTATTGTTTTCTATCTTTGCTAATCCCTTTGGTTTCAAACATCACCATTTGCATATATATATATATGTATATATATATATGCACACACACATACACATATAGCTTACCTACTGAAAACTACCAATGATCTCACCTATAAGTTACAAGAACACAACTTTCCATTTTTTGCCACTTATATATTTACTATTTAACAAATTTTACATCAAAGAGTTTATTCTTTTTTTAAAAAAAACAAAACTATCCTCTTTTTTCTTTAATTTGTAAGATACATTAGTGATACTTAATCACCAGGTTGTTCTCTATTTAGGCTTAATTCTCTTTGCATTCCTTTCAACACAATTATCTCTAACTTCATTTAATGGTTTACTGACCATTTAAAAACCCAATAGTAACTCTGTCTCGAAAAGCCAAAAAAAAAGCCCCCAAAACAAAAACCAAATAAAACCCCAAAACACTCAACAGTGCATTGTCTATTTTTAATAATATAACTTTTCTATTTTAAAAACTGTTTATAATACTTTTTCCTTTTACATTAATAGGTGGTCAATGATGTTTTAATAAATAGCTTGAACTATGCAACTATCTATATTAGTCAAAGGAAAATGCTAAATTTCATAGTAAACTTACATTAGATATATTTGTGATTCTTGACTTTAGTTTGAGGTCACCGTCTTTCTTGGAGTAATCTGCAGTGCTGATATGCACATAATTTCGAATTGCTGCTGATAATAACCCATCATTCCATTCCATGGTATTAATGTCCAGCTGTCCATATAGTTCACCAAGAGTGACACATTTGGGATTCAAAACGCACACTTCTACCTTTCCTTTTTTTCCTATAAACTGGGAGCAGGGGTGAGAAATCCATGTTGTTTTCAAGGGGATCAGTTACCGCACAATTACTTCATTTTGTGCACCGTTGCTGCCAATGGGTCAGGGGAAATCTTTTACATCAAACAAAACATTTTATAAAGGCAGTAATTAACAAGAAACAGTAAAAGTTGACTTGTTTAAAGAAGGCATACTATAAAAACCATTAAAACAATCTAAAGAACACAAGTAGCTTCTTCAAGAAAAGACATCTCCCTGTGCCCCAGTGCAGAAAACATTCAGCCAGTGCCCTCACCTCCTGATCCAACAGTTCCCTAACAATCATCTAAGTTCCAGTCATCAAAACTACGAAGTTTTGGGGAATAGAAACTTACAAATATGATAAAGAATTTCTAGAAAAAGATATCTAGAAAAAATAATTATTAGAGATAAATGTAACATCATATTGAAAAAATTAAATGCATTTCAAGTAAAATAAAGGATAAAAACTATAGTTAACACAGTCTTGAAGGGGTAATCATTTGAAAAACAAAAGAAAAATCACATAAATATTGGAAAAGAGGTATAATTAATTTTATTTGAAGACTATTGAATTAATACTCAGGAATGAATTAGAACTTTAATTAATTCAGCAAAATAGCTAAATACAAAATATACAAGCCAACCATTCTATTTTACGTTCCTCATCACCAGTTTGATATCTAAATTTCAAAATTCTCACTTACTACAATAATTTCCTACAAAACTTCCAGTAGTAAACCTGCTAAGTAGTTGAAATATAAAGGTAGAAAGAAAAGAACTGGGTACTGAAGAGGAAGCTGTGCACAAATAGGAACTGGTTTATGGAGGAGAATGTTCACCTTTGAATCGGATTGCATTTCTTTCACTGATAAAATGGCGGCGACAGGAAGGATCACTAAGGCTTTCTCTAGAATCCTCCTGACTGTTGTTTTCCCTCCACCTGTTGGGCCCACCAGCATCACACCAATACAAGCCTGAAACGAAATTCAGATTAGTGTGCTGAGGAGCGGCTTAACGCTCCTCTACAAGCACATCCCTGCTTGTACCCACACCCTCTTCCTTCATATGACCGTCCAACCCACACGGATCTGGCCCTCTGCGGAAGTGAAGAGAAACATCCTAACCAGAGAACATCTTCAATTTCTGGTGATCACTTTCTTTTGCTCCCTGCTTCCTGTCCTCCGTGTGGCTTTCTGAACTACAGGGATCTGTAACACAATGATTGTTCTCTTGCTTTTTTTTTTTTTTTTTTTAATCTTTCCATGCTGGACTTCCCTCAATCATTCTTGTTGCTATCTCCTCGTCACTGTTCCTTTTGGTCTTACCAGTTTGGCCTGAAGCCTGACCTAGGTTCTAAACGACTGTCTAATGTACATATTCCCTCAGTGCCTCATTTTACTAAGCATCTCCATCCCCACGTCTCATAAGTTTCATTCAGCCTTTCCAAACTTGATGCTTTTTCATGTACCAATTGCTCAGAGTAGAATATTGATCTTTTTCATTCATCCCTTACAATTTTCTTGATTCTAGGTCTGATATCTGGGGAAGGGCTCCCATGATGTAATTAGTGGCCCTGTAAGGAGAGCAAAGGGCAGTGGGTGTAGTCTGTGATAAGGTGCTTGCCTAGAATCCTCAGTTCAATCCTCAGTACGACACAAACACACAAAAAAAGAGGAAAAAAAAATTGCTCTTATGTGCACACTCCAGTGCTCACTCCCCATCTCTACAGTCATTCACAGGTCTGAGGAGTGACATCTGCTGATGCATAGTGAAACCAGGACGCTGGGCCAACCGTCCGTCCGTACTAGGTATTCCAAACACAAGAAGTAGGTTTGTTTGAATGAAGTGCGAACTGGCACTGGGGACCGCCCACTTCATCAGTCCTCACCTGGAACTTGACATAGTTCACATTTAAGAAAGATTACAACTGTAAAAACCAATCAAACAAACCTCCCCACAAAAGAAACAAAAGACTCCACTTTCCAAGCGAACAAACCTTGTTCCCCTTTATATCTTTATTTCTTATGTAAAAACCGGGCCCAGGAATGATCTTGTCTCGCTCCTAAAAACAACCCAGCTTTCCTTGAGAGTGGCATTCAGACTGGCATCATCAGCTCACTGACTTGCACAGCCCTCCCTTATGGGGTAATGTGAAAATCTGTGTATGCCTGGATTAATGCTTCAAATATGAAGTGGAGGGGCCAATACAGACCTTCAGAGGGATCCCATCTGGAGCTCTAAGGTAGACTCAGGTGAGCTACAGTGTTTATGTAGCTGTTTGGACCTAGAACTTTAGGTGGTTATTCACTGCTGGGACTAGAGCTTAGGGTGTTCTTGCTCTGCTGTTCAGTGATCTGATGATGGAAGCCTTAAGTCCTATAGGAGTGTGGTAGTTTGAATGTAACTGGCCCTATAAACTCATAGGAAGTTGCACTATTAGGAGGTGTGGTTTTGTTGGAATAGTTATGGCCTTGTTGGAGGAAGTGTGTCACTGTGGAGGTAGGTTTTGACATCAATATACATATATACATATACATATATATATACATGTATATATATATATACATATATATATGCTCAAGCCATACGTAGTGTCCCAGTTCACTTCCTGTTTACCTATGGATCAAGATGTAGGACTCTCAGCATCTTCTCCAGCACCATTTCTGCCTGCATGCCACCATGTCTCACCATGATGATAATGGACTAAACGGCTGAAATTGTAAGCCACTCCCATGAAATGTTTTCCTTTATAAGAGTTGCTGTGGGCCAGGAGGTGGTGCTGCACACTTTTAATCCCAGCACTTGGGAGGTAGAGGCAGGTGGATCTCTGTGAGTTTGAGGCCAGCCTGGTCTACAGAACAAGTTCCAGGACAGTCAGGGCTGTTATAGAGAGAAACCTTGTCTGGGAAAACGGGGGTGGTGGTGGTGGTGGTGGTGGTGGGGAGCTGCTGTGGTCGTGGTCATGGTCATGACCACACTAGGAGGAGCATGGAAGACCGTGGTGCTGAGTGTGATTTGATGAACTGAGGCTGGCCTCAAATTCAGCGATCCACCAGCTTTTTTGCCTCTGGGCTGCTAGGATTAAAAGTGTGTTCTACCACATGCTCTAAAAGCTCTAAGCTTTTCTTTAATTCCTTTTTACAAATTGGAAATTTGGGTGGGTGGGATCTTGCCCTGGGGTCACCATTCCCTTAATCCCATTTCTTAATCTCTTGATTTCCTTGAACATAGGATTTAGCTCCAATCTACTTCATGATGCTCCCTTTTTCCTCAAATTGTACATTTTGTAATTTACCCTGCTCAACTTGCTCCTTTTCATTATAAATCCTCATTAGAGTTACCACTAGTAACCACACAACAGAGTCTCTACTAGGTTGTATTTGTTTTGAGATTTCCTCTGCCAACAGAATTAATCCAAAACTCTTCACATTAGCCTCAGGCAAACTTTCAAACAAGGGCAAAAGCAGCCACATTCTTCACCAAAATATCAAAGAACAATCTCTAGGCAATATGCTAAAATTCTTCTCCTCTGAAACTTCTTGATCCAGGCCCCCACAGTTCATCAAATCACACTCAGCACCACTGTCTTCCACGCTCCTACTAGTATGTCCTATTAAGCAGTGCTTAAAGCATTCCACTGCTTTTCTAATCTATAGTCCCAAGGTCCATATTTCTTCAACAGTGAATATAATTGGCCCCTATTAGCTCATTGGGAGTGGCACTATTAGAAAGTATGGCTCTGTTGGAGTAGGTGTGGCCTTTTTGGGAGTAGTGTGTCCCTGTGGGGGTGGCTTTGAGGTCTCCTGTGCTCAAGCTTCTCTCAGTGTGACACTCAGACCACCTCCTGTTGCCTGCAGGATCAAGATGTAGCTCCATTTCCACTCTCAGCTTCTTTTCCAGCACCATGTCCCCGCCGTGATGATAATGGACTCAACCTCTGAAACTGTAAGCCACCCAATTAAATGTTTTCCTTTATAAGAGTTGCCATGGTCACAGGGTCTCTTTACAGCAGTAGAAACCCTAACTAAAACAATGAGGTAAAACAAATGTATTTGGGTTATAGGTCCTGTCAGCAAGATTAATTAGTTGTTAATATAGCATTGTACTCTTGGAGACATTCACCAGAAGCTAAGACAATGTATAAATGAGAGGCGGATGCTCTTGGGAGACATTCTTTGTGGGTCATTGATATTCCTACATGCTGTTGGAGCAGAGGCATTGGCAGCTTATGTTTTCAAGAATGTAAGACAGATTTTGGGTGTGAGGATGCTGGGGATTGACTGTGGTCTCATGCATGCTAAATATGCACTCTACCACTGAGCTACACCCCATCAAGCACAAATTTGGTACCCAGAATGTATATTTAAAAAGTCTCCTTCAGAAACAAAGGTTGGGTATTTTTGATGCAAGTCTTCTTTTAAGACTAGGGCTGGGTGCACTAAATTCAAGGTTTTCATCACACATTGCTCACGTACAGTAGTTACCAATCCTTGTGTCATTTTGACAATTACATCTTAGGAAGTGGTATAAATATGTTAGTCTGGCTACTGGTACTGTTGTAACAAATTGCTCTTCGTCTCTGACCTAAGAATCTAGTTCCTCTGCCAGCATGAACATGGGACAGGTTAATTTCACAAACCACAGTGATATGTGAAACTGTGTGGTGTAGACACAGATGGAGAAAGAGGCTCCAATAAACTGAGAAGCCAATCTTACTAGATGTGAAAACTTAATGTGCTCTATAAGTAGCAAGCCAGTGAGGAGAAGCCATGGGAAAACCGACTATCCTTTTGGGGGAAACCTCTAGCTGACACCTTAAAAAAGAACTCCAGACAACTTAAAAATGGAAAATGCAAATATTTAAAAAAAATTGGGAAAATCCATAGAAAATGTCTTTACAAAGATAGCTGAAAAGATTTTTTTTTTAAAAAAAACTAAGATACAAAATGCTCAAACCATAAAGGAATAGAGCCTACAGCACTAAAATTGTCTTCAATACAGCTTGAACATAGTAACACTTATAAAAAGCTGAGACTTAGAGAATTTACTCATAATGCACACAACTACTAAAGAATTATGATGTAAAATACATTGTGAGAAACATATACATTTCTTAAGAAAAAGATAAACGACCAATGAAGAATAAGTTCATTGTATAATTTGGCAATCACATAAAACTCAGGCAGCTAAAATATTTAGAGACACGGAATCGTACAAAGACTCAGGGGGTACACATAATGTAGTGTTTGTGAACATACACAATGTATATCCATAGCCAGGCAGAACAGGGAGTTTAAAGATGGAATAACAACAGGTTACGAGCTATTTCAGACTACCCTTGTAGGGCTCTGACAAGTATATATTAATGAATAAGAAGATCAATTCAATCTGTCAAATTAAGGGGCGATACAATGGCTAGGAAAACACTCACCATGCTGTTGTTCTTCCAAGAGTACTGTAACCCCCTCTATTGCTCTTATTGTGATTGCGCATTTGAGCTCACTGACTGAAACTCAGGTGAAGAACCTGCCAACACGCCATTCTGTACTCACCTGAAGTTGATTGTACAACTGTATGATCTGTTCTTTCTGAGGTGGCCAATGTTGAAAGCCTAATTGATCTGTTGCAAGAAATATTGCTTTCTAAAAGGATATAAATATATTGAAATGCATTATAACTTGAATATCTATCTATATATCCATCCATCCATCCATCCATCCATCCATCCATCCATCCATCCATCCATCCATCTACAACCCAGGTCCTTGTACAAAGTCATCTAATGATGTACCACTGTGCCACACCCCCAGCCCACACCCTTAAATCCTTTAGAACCTCTTTGCTACTTACTAATTATTGTAGTTTATAAGAGTATTTCTTCATAACCAAAAAAAATAAATAAATAAAATAAAGAAAAAGAAAAAGAAGCCGGGCAGCAGTGGCACATGCCTTTAATCCCAGCACTGGGGGATGGGGTGGGGGGCAGAGGTAGGTGGATCTCTGTGAGTTCAAGGCCAGCTTGGCCTCCAAAGCAAGTTCCAGGAAAGGCACAAAGCTACACAGAGAAACCCTGTCTTGAAAAAAAAAAAAAAAAAAAAAAAAAAAAAAGTATTTCTTCATTTTTTTTTTTTAGTTTCACCAACTTCTGTCTTTGAAAATAATGAAAACCACTTTTTTTCTCACCAGAAATGTGCAACACACAGAATATTCTATGTTCATAGACCTTTGGTAGCAAATTCATCAGCCCTCCCCTCAGACTAAGAATCCTCACTGTTGGATTTATTAATACAAAGTCATATGCACAAAACAAAAAACGGACTCATCAGGCTGTGTTTGTACATCTGTGCACATGTGTAACAATAATAATAAGAGAAAAGAGGCCACCAATTTAAGAGGAGTGAGGTGGTCCATAGGAGGGCGGG